ACGGAATATTGACCGGATTTGTTATCCGCTCAATATGATTTATTATTCTAAGTGTTAAACCGTTCRATGAATATTTGGGGTGTTGACCGGATTTGATGTCCGGACAAAGTAGACTTTTGTCAAATTGTAAACCGGATGGTTGTTGACCGGATTAGTTGACCGGATTTGATATCCGATCAAAGTGTGAAATTGTTTTAAGTGTGGTGTGTTGACCGGATTAGGTATCCGGACAACAAAATGGATTTTGTTCCAAGTGTTAATACGGATGAGGCTTGGTCGAATTATTAACCGGAYTTATTATCCGGATGAATGTTAACCGGGTTAGATTGACYGGACTTGTTGATATTATTTGAAATGTTATTTTGTGGCTTGATAAAAATTGTTATTTTATCATAAAATGAAAATTTGACGTAAATGGTTTTGATCTGAAAATTATTCCGATGGCTGCGGTCTATTTGGAATTATTTCATAAATGTTTTGGTGAAGAGATAAGGGTGGCATATCAAGGAGAGGTGTTCATTTGTTATAAGAGTGGCATATCGAGGAGAGGTGTCCATTTGTTATAAGGGTGACATATCAAAGAGAGGTGTCATTTGTTATAAGGGTGACATATCAAGGAGAGGTGTCTATTGGATATAAGGGTGGCATTGTCTATGTGTGTGACTTTATATAACTCTTTCTATCATTTCCTTTAAGATGACCGAAATCTGGAATCTTTATTTCTTTGTGATTTAAAGATTTAGGATTAAGGTTCTTATTTGGAAATCATAGATTAGATGTTATTGAGGAGAAAAGATATGTTTTGGCCTGAAACTTTGTTAAACCTCGTTATTAAGAAAAAGGTTTAAAAAGTGGCAATGTATGGAACTTGATTGGTTCAAAAAGTATGAGATTTGAATAAGCTATGTGATAGSTTGAATTTGAGAAATGACTTGGTATTTTGGTATTATGAATTCATATATTTGTTATTTATATGAATACTTGATTTTGCAAAGGTTTTGGTGATCCTTCACCCTGCAATGACATGAATAGGGTATCTCACTAGACTTTACAGTCTAACCCTCGTTTTTGTGATTTTAAATATGTGTTGCAGGTCGGGTGGAAGGTAAAGGAAAAAAAAGATTTAATGCTTTTCTTACGTGCATTTTGGTTGAAGATTTGCTTTTGATGCATAGCTCTGATGATTAGTACAAGATTGTATTTTGAATTTTTGGACCTTGTGTTTGGTCATAATAGATTTTTCTTGTACTAGTGGACCCAAATATATATGAATATGTATTTCTTTGGTATGAAATATGTATTACATGTAATGTGTGGGTTGGGGTGTTACAGCATGAGCTTAATGAGTTGACTATGCTCCATAAAATCATGAGAAACGTTGCATGTACATGACATAAGTTTTATAAGGGCGTCAAATTGCTTCCATAAAGAATTTAGTTTATGGTAATATTTAGATACAATCATACTGTTTTGACTTAGGGAATTGATTTTCTGATAGAGGTTAAAGGTAACCGACCCATTGACCTTGTCATAGGTCTCTTTCAGCTCTTCCCAAACTTGAGAAGATATTTTAGAGAAAACTTGCCCAAGGAACAAGTCCTCAGTTATGGAACTCAAGATCCATGAAAGGACGACAGAGTTACAACGATCCCACTGTTTCTGAAGAATGGGATCATTTATGGGACGAGAACAGGAACCGTCAATAAAGCCCAATTTATTTTAGTTTCAAGAGCAAGAACCATAGCACAGGACCACACTTTATAATTTTCAGTACCACTGAGTTTGAAGGACAGAATGGAGCCTCCACTAGTGTCGCTGGGATGCAAATATAACGAATCTCCAAAATCTAACTTTGCGATTCTAGATTCCATTATACTTGATGTTCTAGCAACAACGAGAGGTGGTTCCATTAGGCAAACAAGAAAAAAACACACACAAGGAACTGAAATGCTTAAAGGCAGGATTCCTAAAACACTTCAGAGTGCTAGGTCAAGCCAACAAGACAGTTCTCAACAGAATATAAGGCACACAAAACAAAGTAATCTTACCACATAATCTTCTAACAGATTAAGGAACAAAATATTAAGAACAATCAACACCTGATATCTTTTAACTTTTGTTAAAAGAGCAATTATCAGATAGCGGATCCAGAAAGTACCTGAACAAACAACAATTATTAAGGTAAACAAGGTGTCAGATCTGATAATCCATAGACCATGACACAAAGGGGAAAGGCACTCTATCATACCAAAATCAAAAGAAAAGCAAGCCAAGAGAGAAACCACAATAGATCAAAGCGATCTAAGATCTGTTCAACTCAAAAAAAGAGCGGCCACAACTGAAAGAACAACCAGACAAAAATCTGGAGTCAAACAGTGGTGCAAACAAGAGCGTCCGTATATGTAATGATAGAAGCAGAAAGATGAATACAAATTACATCGGAAAAAGAGAAAAACATCATACACAAAGCAACATCATATCTATTTATTTTATAACAAGATCTGGATAAAGGACACAGATCACAATCATAAAGTGACATCAGATCTGGAGATTTGGACACAGATCTGGAATATAACAGTAGATCTGGAAAGAGGACACAGATCCATAACAAAACATAAAAGAAAGAAGATAAACAAATATGAACAACACAAATCTGGATATAGGACCAGATCAGTAATAAGAGCGACAAAAAGAATCAAACAGATATGAAAATACAGATATGGAAATAGGACCAGATCAGACGCAAGAACGACAACTAGATCTTGAAAGGGGACCAAAAGACAATGGATCCAATCCAATCGATCATTTCATAGTAAGCAGTAATAACAAGGTAAAAAGAATCGGCCGATATCATGGTTATACTTGAAATACCGATGTGTAAACACTTAGTATTTTCAAAAAAATGAACCATTCATTTATCGACTTTAGGATTCAGAGAGTAAGGAGAAGATGAACGTACCTTGAGCTCTGATACCATGATAAAACTAACATATTCAAGCGATTTATTGAAAATATCTTTGATGAACAGAAACATTAACATAAACTACTTACAATATGAAAAGTAAAGACCTAATCTCTCTAATTACAGAATATAACAACAAGAATATGAAGAATTAACTCTCTATTTCGATGAAGATCTAAGATAGATCTTTTGTGAAAGAGAAAGTAGAAAACTTCTTATTTGAAAGAGAATGACGATTTTAGAGAGAATGGAGAAAGCCGCTCAAAGATGAAGAAATGATGTTATGAGCTGGAATGGGCTAATCAAGGCTTTATATATGAATTGATATTGTCCAGGTTTGCCCCTTGAAGAAACGAACTCCATGCTCCGCTAACCTTCAACAATCCAGAAAAGTGAGGCGCAGTCCCTCTTATTATTAACCAGCAACATTTTTACTTATTTGCGATTTCTACCAAAATCTGTTACAACAATAACAAACTAGGAGATTCAAAGAGAAGTTAGTCAAATCTAGTACGTCAAGATTGGAAATAAAGAATATATCCTTTTAACAAAGATTCCCTTAATGAAAAACCTTATTGGTCGTAACTTACCTTTACATTTAGATCTAGATAAACTTCACATGTTAAACTAAATAATAAACCCTAAACTAAATCATAAACCTAATCTAAATTGCTAAGAGATGTAGATCAATGCAGATCAAAGGCATAAGAGATTGATTCACAAGAGAAAGAAGCATATCAACATGAGATTAATTACCGATATACAAATTCAAATCAAAATGAGATCTAGACGCAGGGTGAAGAGGGAAGATATTCCGACGGATGAACGTCGATTCATATTCAGAAGCTGATGATTCTAGTGGATGAACACAAGATGGAGAAGATGATTCCAGATAAAAAACGTGGTATCACTACAAGATTAATAACCTTCAAAGAAGGTATCGTTTGTATTTAAAAGTCTTAAAAGCTTCTCTAAAGCCTTTAGATAAGCTTTTCAATTTTGTCACATAGCTTCTCTATATAACGGTAGGTAAAGGTTTTAGAGAGAGTTTTCGGAGGGTGTGTTTTTCGTTAGCTTTTAGAGACGCTTATTTGAGGCTTTAGATACACGTTCAAAACTTCTCTAAATGCTCAACTTTTTATTCAAAACTTCTCTAAAAGTATATGTATTAGTGACGCTTTTAAAGTATTTGTGACGGTTTATAAGAGTTACTAAAAGATACTTTTAGAGAAGGTAATGAAAAAACTTCTTTAAAGATATTGACTTTAGTGACACTTTTAGAAAATCTTCTCTAAAAGTCCTCGTTAGTTACGCTTGCAAAATCTAGACTTATGATGAATGTCGGCGCATATATGCAAAGACTTATGACCATGATTCATTTATTAAAATATTATTTTTCTGTTGAAATATTTATTTTCAAAGTTTTTTATTGATGGTGTCACTTGGTAATCATTTTTTGGGCTATCTCCATATTTGGAAAAACAAATCATTCTCTCACTTACTTTCTCCTATTTAGAGATAGTTTTAAGAAAATTATTAGAGCAAAATATTAACTCAAAATCCTATTTTTTTTTTTTTATTTAGAGAAGCTGTTGAGATGCTGTAAGAAATTGAAGAAGGATGGAGCTGACTTTGTGAGCATTTATAGTGGCATGGTGTTCATCCATCAACTCCGTAACTAAATCTTGATCTAGCTTCCTCAAATTCGCCTTGTTGCTCCACCTCCTCTCTCTCTCTCTCTCTCTCTCTCTCTCTCTCTATATATATATATATATATATATCTTTACAAGAGGGAACACTGCTGGCTTCAAGATCCAGACAGTCATAGTAATATTGTTTACAGTATACACATACATACATATACACGCACACGTGTATATATATATATATATATATATATATATATTATCATATATATATATGTGTGTGTGTATTGATGACATATATAGAGAGATAGGGAGAGAGAGACATGCATCCAAGACTCTTTTTCTTTTGCATAAATTACCTAGAGAGAGAGAGAGAGAGAGAGATATGGATGGTCTATGGAGAAAGACAAGTGATATGAGTGTAGTTGTTATATGCTTGTTGTTCACTTCCATATTCACCAACACAGATTCATTAACCAACGAACAAGAAAAGGATCGAATCAAGGCGTTGCCAGGACAGCCGGAGGTGGCGTTTTCCCAGTTCTCCGGCTACGTTACCGTCCACAAAAAACATGGTCGAGCTCTTTTCTACTGGTTAACTGAAGCTGCAACTCACAATCCACTCGAGAACCCTCTTGTTCTTTGGCTCAATGGAGGTAATTCATTAGTCATTACATTACATGCATTCCTTCAATGAATTACTAAGCACTTCCTTGTGAATTCAAGAATCCAACGTTAATCTTTTTCCAAAATAATTTAGAAATTTAATTTTGAAAATAAATTTCATTTCGTAATAATTAATGTGTTTTGGTTACAATAACCCTAATCCCAAAACACAAATTCTGTGACTTATCAACCCTACTATTTATTTTTTAGATTTTCAATGCATCAATTTAACTGGTTGTAAAGTAAAAGGGGTGCAAATAACATTCCTTTTCTTTTTCTAAGATAGTAACTCCAACTATGGTACTGGAACCTACATTAATACATTACTAGCTATATATTATTTTTAATTATATCAGTATTCGTGTAATGTAACGAAACATATTTCGATTTTAATGTTTTATTTTATTATTTGTCTGTCGATATTATAATACGATTTTATGTGTTTTTAAGAAAACAATAATGATTTTATTTTTGAATAAAATATAAATTTGAAGATATCATAATAGTTTGAAAAAAACATATCAATGTTAATATCATATCAATTATTTAAAAGTTCTCATTTTTTTATGAATTTTTTTATTTTTATTATAATTTAATTTAAGTTTAATAACGAAATAATTTATTTTTGGTTTAATAATATAACATCTTATAAAAATAATTAAGTATTATGTTAGAACTCCTAATTATATTTTAGATTTTTTATATTTAAAATGAGATGTTTATCATGTATTTGATTATGTTTATCTGCAGTTAGTTACACAATTCAGATATAAAGCTTTAATAAGTTGTAGTTACGCACAATCTAATTATAATTTTGAGTTTTAAGTAATATGCATTAATAAACAGTACTTTACGCATAAAAAGTGATTTTTAAGAGTTTTTGCCAAATGCTTTATAATATAGTATAAATAAACTGTTGTTTTTTTGTATATTATTTACATTTTCTAATTATTAATAAATAAATACCAATAAAATAGGTTAGTTTTGTTGTTGGGAGCTTCCTACATTTAAGCAATCTGATCATTAGAGTCAGGACTTAATTAGAAATGCTCTTTAGTTAATGCTTCACAGTATTATTAAAAGGTAAGAATTTTTTAATTTTATGTGTATATATATATATATATACAAAGTGAGTTATTATGTAACTCTTTACATTTGTATAACCAATACAACTCAATTTTAATCGTTCATTTAATCTGGTAAATATGTGTTTTTATAAAAGTTTTGATTGTTTTCTAATATAAAATATTGATCATAATTAATGAACTCTATTCATCTTTCATAAATATTTAAATCATAATAAATGAACTCTTATTATTTTCATAAATATTTCAATTGATTAAGTTGTATTAATTATACAAATGTACAAAGTTGCATTTGAAATATACCTTATATATACATATTATATTATGTAGGTATATATATGGTGAATATGAAAACAAAAGAAAAAGAACAGAAAAAAGTACTAACACCAATTATAATCTTCATCATGTTATAGGGGTACCCTATACCACCACCATTGTCATCTGTGAGTTCATTGGACTTGATTCTTCTGAGCACACACACAGTGTGTGTGTGTGTTTAATTTCCACGTGGGTTATCTTCTCAAATTCAATTCATCTGAACACAAGTGGTGTTTTAATTACTGACGAGGGTAGCCTCTGTGTTGCTCAAGAACATGAAAATTCATGGGCAATTATGTCATAACATTAAAGAAAGAGGGTGCAGTTTGTCTTTTTAATGGTCAAATAGAATGTATCATTACAACATGACTGTCAATAACATATACATACATATATGCCTGTATCTATCTTTTTGGATAAATAGGGTTTATTTTTAACTTACCTTTTTAATAACAGTGACCATTCAGGAAGATTTAATATTATTTTTTTGGGACATTTTTAGATAAAATGTTGTATTATCTATGAAATAGTTTATACGATACTTTATTTAAAAAATACCTTAAAAACTTGTTACGATAACGTGCTATAAACTTATTCTAACATTTTTAGATACGAAACTTTATTATTTGGTAATATAAACTTAAATCTTATGAAACACTCTATTAGATCATTTAAACATTTAGGCGTCTTATAAACCCGATTTTGTTTTAGTGACTTATCGTAATTTTAGTAGATTTTGGTGCAAGTCGAGTCTTATATTCAGACCATATATTTTCAATTATATATATACATATATATATATATATATATTAAGTTTATTTTATTTTTAAATACATTCATGATCATATTTAATTCATACAGGACCAGGTTGTTCATCAATAGCATATGGAGCATCAGAAGAAATTGGACCATTCAGAATTAACGAGACTGCCTCTTCCCTCTATCTCAATAAATATTCATGGAACAAACGTAAATAAGCAATTATCTTTCTTTTTCATTTTTCAACTTCTTTAAAACTTGAGCCATTTAACCACAAGGGTGGTGCCTGATTGATTTGAGCTTGACTTCAAAGGTCAAAAGTACCAGGAGGTCACAGGTTCAAACTCAAGGAATAAAAAAAAATTCTCTTGTGGCCACGTAGGTTCAAATGCGATGACTCCGGGCTATCTGCAAAGCAAGTGATTACCCTGGGATTAGTCGACTCGAATAGCGAGTTGAATATATAGATTAATAATAATAAAAAAACTTGAGCCATATCTTCTTAATATATGTTGGAAACCCTTTTTTCATCAATAACTATTTTTATGAATGATCTTGGGGTTTCGAATGTTGTCGTATGTTTTTATTTAATATTAACCCATGTTTAATTATCTGATATTTAATATACAGAGGCAAATATTCTCTTTCTTGAATCTCCGGCTGGTGTTGGGTTTTCGTATACAAATAAAAGCTCGGACCTAAGGGACTCGGGTGACAAAAGGACCGGTAGATTTTGATCGCTATAGTCTCGTTAATTTGGTGCACAAAGTTACGTTACTAGAATATGCATCGTATCTTGTGTAGTACAAGTATATGATGCATATTTTGGTTAATCGTATAATTAATGTACAACTTATAATGCATGATTTACCAGTGATTATAAAGTTTTGTAATGCAGCAAGGGATGCACTAACATTTCTCAAAAGATGGATGTCAAGATTTCCTCAATACAGATACAGGGATTTCTACTTATCTGGGGAGAGTTATGCAGGTTATCATTTGAACTTTTTCTTTCCAAAACTACCCACCACCCAATAGCAACAATCTCATTACTAGGGGTAAAATGTCAAATCAAAATGAAGGTACAACTCCCACTGCATTTGGGGATTCTATCTTTCGTAAAAGGCTTTAATCACAAAAGAGATAACCTATCATACCTGAACCTATAGTACCAACCCCTCCTTTTCTAAGTTTTTTTTTTTTTTTTTTTTTTTTTTTTTTTAAGTTAGATATACAAAACAATTTTAACTATATATATATATATATATATATATATCTTAATATGGTATCAGATCCCGGATGTTAAAAGTCTCATGTCAACTAGACACAAAATTCTATAACATTCATTAATTCATTTCTTTTTTATGTTTATAGGCCATTATGTTCCACAATTAGCTAAGAAAATCCATGATTACAACAAGAATCATTCCAATCCATTCATCAACCTAAAAGGGTTCATTGTAAGTTGCCTTCTTGACAACATCCCCAGAAGAAAAGCATGCTGAAAATTAAAGCACTGTCGGGTTGTTCGGGGAGTAATGAATTAGCCAAAGACTGTACAAATTAATTAACTCTTGATGAATGCAGGTTGGAAATGCAGTGACAGATATCAAGTATGATAATATTGGGACGGTGGCGTATTGGTGGAGCCATTCGATTATCTCGGATTCAACCTACAAATCGATCATGAGTTCTTGCAAATTCACATCAGCAAAATACTCCCAAAATTGCGATGATGCAATCAATTATGCGTGGAATTATGAGTTCGGAGAGATTGATCAGTACAGCATTTACACACCTTCTTGTAACAAATCATCACGTAATCTTACTACAAACATTAGCAGTAGAGTCAAGAACACTCTTGTACGTATTTCTGGCTATGACCCTTGCATCGAGAACAACGCAGAGAAGTATTATAACAGGCCTGATGTACAACATGCAATGCATGCAAATTCCACTGGGATTTCCTACAAGTGGACTGCCTGCAGGTGTAGTACGTAGTTAGTGGTTTCTTTACTTGATTCTTGATTTCTACAAATTTAAATGCAATGAAATGTACGTGATAGATGTCAAAGATTTTGGTTCTTGATTGTTTTTGCAGTGGTGAACTTCTAGACAACTGGAAGGATTCAGAGTTTTCAATGCTACCAACTTACAAGAAGTTAATTGCAGCTGGTTACCGAATATGGATGTTCAGGTAAATTGCTCCACAATCCTGCTTCAAAATTTTGTACCGTATACATTTGTATATACATAGGAACCTCTCATCCATGTACAAGGGCTCTTCTAGTTCGAGAAAGATTCAAAGGGGTTTCACATATTCTAATAGTATGTTATGACACAGTGGCGACACAGATTCGGTTGTGCCAGTTACTGCCACAAGATTTTCACTGAGCCATCTCAATCTCACTGTTAAAACTCGGTGGTATCCGTGGTACTTGAATGGCCAGGTACCCATATAAGACACTCGAATCTTGATCACAAAGTGTCATTTTTAAACTGAAAACATGTACAGATTAAGATATATGTGGATAATAACAGGTTGGAGGATGGACAGAAGTGTATGATGGATTAACCTTTGCAACAGTTCGAGGAGCTGGTCATGAAGTCCCTTTGTTGCAACCTCAAAGAGGGTTTCTCCTATTTCAATCGTTCTTGGCTGGCAAAAACTTACCAAGATCATGATCAGAAGAATATATATAGATTTATTACTAAGATCTTTGAATCAACCAACAGAAAAACTTGTGGGTTCGTAAGTACATATAGAAATCATTGATTTGTTTGAAGTTTGATTGATGGAAATTGTTGTGTTCATAAGATTCATTATTATTGACAGATTTATAAAGTTGAATGTTGTTTGATGTGCTAAAGTGATTTGCCATTTCAAATAGAGCTAGATATTTTTTAAACATCCTGTTAGGAGAGTGTGGTGACATACTCATTTTTGGCTGATGACTCACTTGTTTTGCTTCTTTTATTTGAAGTATACAATAAATGAACTCATATCCTTACTTTTGATAGGATTAATTTGAAACCCGGACTTCATGGGAGGTTAAGCTAAGCTCAACCGATAACTTGGATACCACTAACCCAAATTAAAGGTCCTTTGGTCACTTGTTGCTTCTTGTAGGTTATATAGCATGTCTTGGACACATTTAACAATGAAAGCAGATTCGTAATATGTTATTTCCTTTGATCAATACTTGGTTGAAACAACTATGTATACTTGCACAACTACTTCAACAGACCATGTGACTCGGTGAATATCAAATTAAAACTTAAAGTATATGAGTGTGGTATTCTCCCAATGCCTCTTATCATTTGCTTTGTTGGAGATGAAGTAATCTTCATCTCCATTGGAACATAAAACACAGCACACTGCAACTTATGCAAACTGAAAATAATCTGTCAAATTGTTCTTAGGACCAGACGATACAAGACAAACATGTATACAAAATGAATCGGTGCCAAGAATAGACACAACTCTTGGAACCGACACATAAAACCGACTTGTAACTGCTATCTTAATGGACAGCCTACTGACACAATTTGATGGCCTACGACCCAACTTACTGACCCATACTGACCCAACAACTAATTTATCTGATTTTGTCATTAAATTCTAACATTCCCCTCTAATGACAAAACATGTAAGTATCTTAATCATCATTTTTCAAACAATAATAACAAAATCATCGAGCTCATTTGATGCACTTGAGCTATCTTCTCCCCTGTCGCTGTCTTTTGAAACTTCACAGGTAACATCCCTTTTTTTTCTTGATTATCAATCTTGTTTGGAGTAGTCATCTTTTCTCCCTCTTGATCTTCAAGGTTATTAGCCTTTTTGCCAACACCATGGATGCCTTCAATAGTGTCATCTCTTGGACACATCGATCCTTCTTTAGCAAACTTGTATTTTTTTACAAATCTCCTTAAACTTTTTTTCATACCATCCCTTGTACACAATCATCATACATAGTTCCTTGTTTCTTTTCAACAAGAACATCATCTAACAATCTTTAAGTCGTTTTTAATCAAAATATCACAATAGTTCGTGATAATATCGACTTCTTCCTTTTGGAGCATTTCTCCATTTAACACTTCTTTTTCCTTCTCTCTTTTAACATTTTCTGTGGTGCTTTCTTCATCAAAAAACATGTATTTGATCATACATGTTGTTCCATCCAATTCTATTTCAAAGCCTTGATTGATTAATTGCTTCATGCTAATAAGCACATTTATACCAATTTTACATGCTACACACGGTATCACATGTTCGATTTCTGGTGTTTTTAACACAATTTCCCCAACACCATTCGATACTAGGAAGTTTATGTTATGATCTTGTGTTTCCGGATCAAAACAGGCTTTAAATCTTACAAATAGATCATGGTTTGGTGTCATGTGTTTCGAGTAAAATTTAGAAACATACCAGATTTCATTCCAGTTGCTTCCATCGGTTCCTGGACCATATAATCACCATAACACTTAACTTCTTTGCTGTACCCTTTCACATATCAGTCCCATTTATTGATTTTTCTTACTTTTCCCTCCTTAGATTTCTCTCCATATTTTAATTTCTCATTGTCAGACTTCATTTGGATGAAGAACCACTATCCACTTTACCCTTGATTTCATTTTTAACTAGATCACAACCATTTTTGATCTTCTCGGGGGCCACGTTATCCTTATTGTTGGCAACCATGGCAACAACCTTTCTCTTATTGAATTTTTTTCTTCTTGATGGTTGTCTTCCCACTTGTACTTCCTGCATCTTCTTTCTTCACGGCTTTTGCAACAGGAACCTTTTTATGATTCGATTTCTTCATCCCTTGATCGAGCCTAACGCTCTGATACCATTTTGTTCATCTCCATTGGAACATAAAACACAACACACTGCAACTTATGCAAACTGAAAATAATATATCAAATTGTTCTTACGACCAGACGATACAAGACAAACATATATACAAAATGAATCGGTGCCAAGAATAGACAACTCTTGGAACCGACACATAAAACCGACTTGTAACTGTTGTCTTAATGGACAGCCTATTGACACAATTTGATGGCCTACGACCCAACTTACTGACCCATACTGACCCAACAACTAATTTATCTGATTTTGTCATTAAATTCTAACATGCTTTACCTAATAGAACTTTTACCGAGATTGACTGTAAGATTGCTTTTTTGTTCATATACATATCTAATTAGTTAGGTGAACCATTTTCATGTCATTCTGTGGGCCTTTGCTAGAGTTTTCTCTAGTTTTATTACGCTCCAGCATAGTTCACCATTTTTTAGGTCCTGATAGACATGTTTGATAAAGGAAAAAAGAAACACAAGACTAACAGAAGAAAAACAAAAGATAGTGTATAGAGACTATGAAGAAGAATATGTAGCTCCAGATTCTATATCTTATCAAATACCCAGAGGCCTTTTAAATAGGCAAACACACTAACTGAAAAGCTAAAAAACAGGATCCATAACAGTCACAAACCCCACTTTTCCACTTGCTCTTAAAATAAGGAAAACTTTAACTGCATAAATTAAATAACAAGTTTATATCAACAAACCCTCCCTTAAACTGAAGTTGCCAACGTTCAGTTTAGAGTCAGTGTGCAGAGTCCTAGCTTGCTTCTGAGCTTCACAAAAGAGTCCCTCTTGAGTTCCTTGGTGAAAATATCAACAACTTGGTCTTCACTCTTGCACTGTAGAAGATCAACTGTTCCATCATTACATAGATCCCTTAAGAAGTAGAATCTTACATCTATATGTTTACTTCTTCCGTGTAGCACTGGATTCTTCTACAATTTGATTGTTGAGTTGTTGTCACAGAAGATTGTAGTAGCTCCAGGTTGCTTAAAGTGCAGCTCCTCAAGAACCCTTCTAAGCCAAATGGCTTGACAAACACAAGCTGTAGCAGCTACAAATTTAGCCTATGTTATTGATAATGTAACGATCTGTTGCTTTCTGGATGCCCAAGAAATAACACCCGTTCCAAGCATGAAAGCATAGCCTGACGTACTCCTTCTATCATTATGATCACATGCATAGTCACTATCGGAGAACCCCAACAAATTATCTTTATTACCCTTCTTATAGTGGATGCCAAGATCTGGAGTTCCTTGCAAATAACAAAGGATTCTCTTAGCAGCTGATAAATGCAACTTAGTTGGATTTTCCATGTATCTACTGATTAAACACACAAAGAACATGATGTCTGGTCTTGTAGCAGTAAGATACATCAGACTGCCTACCATTTGCTTAAAGAGTGTGTTGTCAACCTTCTTCCCATTTTTAGCTTTATGTAACTTCATGCCACACTCAATCGGAGTGCTTACTTGTGACATCCGGCAAATTTTCAGTTCTCAGGTTAGCACTCACTAAAGCCTTTATCAGCATTAATTTAGTGAAAACCCCTCATTAGAATTAATTTAGATTGATTTAGGCAAGAGCCTGTTAAAAAAA